ATTCATTTGGAAGAACCCAAAAGAGTTTAATGCTGCATTTCTTATTCTCATCACTTTTTCTTTCTATTTTTTTGTACTCTTTCCTCTGGTCTCATTTTATTTTCCCCTCAGAGTGTCCCAGTCAGAACAAACACTATTCTACTCTTGAAGCAGCTTACGGGGACATCAGCTATTTCCCTTTAGTTTTCTGCCTTTTATGTATAATACAGCATCTATACGGTTGAGGAGGGATATAAAATAATTTGTGCCGGGATCCAACCCCAGCAGGTCCAGGGGTCCCCAAAGGTGTGGACGGAGTCGGCGAAGAAGGAAGGACACGGAGACAGCGTTCAGTTGATCAGCAGCCTAGCCAGGATCTCTAGCCAAGTTCTGGTCTGGATCTCCAGCAAAGTTCTGGTTCAGATCTCCAACCAGGTTCTGTGTCCATGTTCTCTTGCTAGGTTCTCCAGGTTCTCCAGCCAGGTTCTGTAGCCATGTTCCCTCGCTAGGTTCTCCATCCAGGTTCTGTCCAGGTTCTTCAGCCAGGTTCAGTCACCAAGTTCTAGTCAGGTTCTCTTGCCAATTTCTGTAGTCAGGTTCAGTCCAGGATCTTTTGCCATGTTCTCTCCAGCGAAGTTCTTCTGTCTGTAGGTTCTGTGTAGGTTCTGTCTTCTAAGTTCTGTCTTCTAAGTTCTGTCTGTAGGTTCTGTCTTCTGAGTTCTGTGTTCTAAGTTCTGTGTTGTTACATCTGTATTTATACCAGTTGATTCCAATCCTATCAATCTATTACAAAGGTTAGGGCGTTTCTTATCTCCATTCCAGGGAGTAAAGATTATGCAGCTTAAGCATGATTGTTCATAGTTAAAGTGATTAATTACCCACCTGGCACTTAATTAAGAGGTTTTATTCCCTCCCTAGCTTCAGGGGAAAATCCCTACCTGGGGAAACAACCTTTCTCAGAGACCTTGGTTAAAACACATAGTGCCAAGAAGGTGAGCAAACATATTAAGAATAGTATGCCATATATGCCAGGTCCCTTGAAACAGCAAGCATGGACCGGCTCCCAGCAAATTTGATAACTCTGATGGGGACAGGTTTAAAAATAAAATTGTGACCTGATAACCTAACAGTAGCATAACTATCATCTTGAATATTCATGACTCCATTCTGAGTACTTTTTAACTACCTATTTCTTTTTCTCCCTTTGTGTTTTCCCTTTGTTTTTCTCCCTTTGTGTGTGTGTTTGTGCGCACAGATATGCACATGATATTTGAGTTCGAAAGAGAAAGTGGTTTTTGTTTTTGTTTCAGTAGTCAGTTGAAAGCATAGCTTTCTGGTTTTTTTTGCTTTCAACACTTTTAAGATAGACTTTCTTTTTTTTTTTCTTTTTCTTTTTTTTTTTTTATTGCTTAAAGTATTACAAAGGGTATTACATATGTGTCCTTTTTTCCCCCCTCGCCCTTGACAGTCCCCTAGCTTCCCCTACCCCCCTCTGTCTTATGTCCATTGGTTATGCTTATATGCATGCATACAAGTAAGATGGACTTTCTTAACACGTGGTAATTAAGTGGTAATGTCTTAAAGCAGTGGTTCTCAACCTTCCTAATTCCGTGACCCTTTAATACAGTTCCTCATGTTGTGGTGACCTCCAAACATGCAATTATTTTCATTGCTACTTCATAACTGTAATTTTGCTACTGTTATGAATCGTAATGTAAATATCTGATATGCAGGATGTATTTGCATTGTTACAAATTGAACATAATTAAAGCATAGTGATTAATCACACAAACAATATCCTATCTAATAAAAGAGAAACATGGTAATTGGCGTACGACCGCTACCCTTCTCATTGGCTAATCAGCGAGATATGCAAATTAACTGCCAGCCAAGAAGGCGGCCCGCAGCCAGGCAGCTTGAAAGTAAGATGAGGCTTGCTTGCTTCAGTGACGGAGGACTCCAACGTTCCCCGCCTGCCACTGCAGGCCTCTGAGCTGCAAGCAACTATGTAACAAACATAGAAACTAAAACAAAACCCCAGAAACCTGCCGGGCTTCAGCCAGCAGGATCACAACATTGTAAACAAAGGCCAGAAACCTATTTTCAGCAGCGGAGACCTAAGAGCTGGAGCCAAGCCTCAAAGCTAAAGCTGGCCCAGAATAAAAAAAAAAAGACAGAAAAAAAGGAGCGGTTGGGAGCTTCAGTCACCCCCAGCCAGAAAACAGCCCTCAGCTCCTCACCCAGGCTGGCCAGGCACCCCAGTGGGGACCCCACCCTGATCCAGGACACCCTTCAGGGCAAACCAGCCGGCACCCACCCATGCACCAGGCCTCTACCCTATATAGTAAAAGGATAATATGCCTCCCAGCACCGGGATCAGCATGACAGGGGGCAGTGCCCAAACCCCCTGATTGCCTTGCGGCCCTGTGTGTGACAGGGTGTGGCGCCCCAACCCCCCCTCCCCCCACAGGCCCTGCTCTGTGTGTGACGGGGTAGAGCCATAACCTCCCCGTCGGCCCTGCCCTGAGTGTGAGAGTGGCAGCACCCCAACCCCCTGATGGGCCCTGCTCTGTGTGTGACAGGATACAGAGCCCAACCCCCCTGATGGGCCCTGCTCTGTGAGTGACAGGGGGAAATGCCCCAACCCCCTGATTGGCCCTGTTCTGTGCATGACGGGGTGGCGCCGAAACCTCCCCATAGACCCTGCCTTGAGTATGACAGGGGATGGTGCCCCAACCCCCCCAATCAGCCCTACCCTGAGCGTGACTGAGGTTGGAATCACAACCTCCCGATCATCCTGCTCTGTGTATGACACGGGGGCGGCACCCCAACTCCCCAATCGGCCCTGCTCTGAGCCCGACCAGGGGCTGCACCTAGGGATTGGGCCTGCCCTCTGCCACCCAGGAGCAGGCCTAAGCCAGCAGGTCGTTATCTCCCGAGGGGTCCCAGACTGCGAGAGGGCACAGACCGGGCTGAGGGACCCCCCTCTCCCCTGAGTGCACAAATTTTTGTGCACCGGGCCTCTAGTGTAATTATATATGTGTTTTCCAACGGTCTTAGGCGACCCCTGTGAAAGGGTCGTTCGACCCCCAAAGGGGTCACGACCCACAGGTTGAGAACCACTGCCTTAAAGCATGCTTCAGTATTTTTATCACCCATGGTTCTGGAAGGACACTAGTTACTTACCACTCTTGGGAGAATTGAAAAACTTTACAATATAGTTCAGATGTGGATTCTGTATGGAGCAGTAAGAATATGTGAGTTCCCATGGCTGCCCGGGAGAGGAGGGCCTCCCCAGCAGTGCCAGGCGCCCCCAGCAGGTGGAAGGCATCAGTAACATCTGTGGTCAGGCCTTTTGCCAAGTTTGGGAGGCACCTGCCCAGAAATATGGTCCTGCAGGCCACTCTGCCACTGCTCTTTATTCTGCTGCATCTAAGCAGAATAAACTGGAACCGGTAGGAAAGGAATTGTTGAGAGTAGCACACAGAAACACAAAACGGCTGCTTCAGTTATGACTCCCTAACGTAACGTGTTCTATTCAAGTGCAAACCCTAAATGACATGACCTCCAAAGAGAGCTTTCTCTCCCCTCACAACCAACCTGGGTCAATTTGCCTGCTGAAAATGGCTGCTAGGACAATGCCCCAGGAGTCATTTCTGCCTTTCTTCCATGATGAGTGTCTACCATGGCGCAGCACCTCGTACAGTGACCTCTGAGTCTCCTTTAGATGAAGCCACTCATTCTGAATCAAAACATGGCCCTGAAGAGCTTCCTAAGGAAAAGCCAAATATTGAAATTGGAAGTTAAGATTGATCCATCAACTGTGGGCGGAACTGTTGCCGAAGGAAATAGGATTATTTCCATGGTATGTGAGGGAAAGCATTTCAGGGATTCACACATAGGAAGATGAGAGATATAGTGGCAAGATTCATTGGAATGAAAACAAAGGACTCCGTGCCCAATGTCCTATCTAAGACCAGGTGGCTTAGTTCCATCTCACTGAGAAAAAGTCCAGCCTCTGGGGCCACAGGGCCAAAGCTGCCCCACCAAGCCCATGAGGAGGGCCCGGGCCCAGAGCAGCTATGCCATTAACCCAGTATCCGAGGCATCCAGAGTCCAGAACAGCCTCTGTTCCCATCCTGCCCATGTGGCTGCTAGAGAGAGAGAGAGAGAGAGAGAGAGAGAGAGAGAGAGAGAGAGAGAGAGAGAGAGAGAGAGAGAGAGAGAGAGAGAGAGAGAGAGAGAGAGAGAGCCTGAACCTCGGGCCTTTGTTAAGCTTTGATCATATTTCCTTGGGTTTGGGAGAGAGCAGGCTTTCTTTCAAACTATCCAACCCTTTTCCTGGATCTTCTGGGGTTCGATGACTTTATCTGCTCCCCCCTTCCCCCCACCCACCCCCAGATATTCCCAGGCTAAACTCTTCCCCTTTATAGTTGCCATTTTGGCTCCTACTTCATCTGCCTCAGCAGAGGAATTTCCCCCTCATTGTTTACCCCTCTCCCTGGGGAGAGTGGAAAGCCAGCCTTTCCTACCTGCTGGCCTAGGGCAGAGGATGCAGCTGCTCCCTAGGGTGTCGGTGAAGCTGCCTCTTCCCAGTTAATCAGGCTTAATGTCTGATTCCGTTTGCCCTCTTCCTTTGTTAATAACCTAACTAACTACTGTCACAGATTTGGTGTCCGTATCAGAGAGAAATATGTTGGTACCTTTGCCAAAAACAAGATTCAGAAGCTGAAGAGGTTTTATGAAAGTGTTGATTTTCTGTCAGTGAAAACTCTTAAACTTGGAGAGAAATAAAATGCTTCCTGACCAGAACACACCACACACACACACACACACACACACACACACACACACACACACACACGACTTTTTTTTCTTTTCTTTTTAAATCTTTATTGTTGAGATGTCCCTCTATTTCCTCCCCATTGGCCACCTCCATCCAGTTTCTGGCCAATCCCAGGCCTTCATCTTCTCTTTTTTTAACTTCCTTTCTGATTCTTTCTAATTTCCTTTCACGCGGCGAGAGTCGACTAAGGATCTTAGTCATACGGTTAGTTTCATTTTGAGAAATATTATTTAAACGTGTTTACCTTATAAAAGTAGGAAGACCATACCTTGAAGCTGTGTTGTAAAGACGACATTTTTGCTTTAAAGTGAAAACTTTGAAGAGCAATTATGAAAAATATAGTGAATAACTTCGCCTCATCTGCCCTGCAGGAAGAGGTGCCAGAAACTGATTCAAAAAAGCAAGGTAAGTCCACTTTCAATTGTGCAGAATCAAGGTGACTTAGTGAAATTATGAAGCCTAATGTTAAAAACTTAGAAAAACTTAGAAAACATGAAATGAGTTTTGTAGTTTCTCCCATCATGGCAAAAAAAATCCTATTGAAAAATAGAACAGCCGAAACCGGTTTGGCTCAGTGAATAGAGCGTCAGCCTGCAGACTGAAGGGTCCCAGGTTCGATTCCGGTCAGGGGCATGTACCTGGGTTGCGGGCAATCCCCAGTGGGGGATGTGCAGGAGGCGGCTGATCGATGTTTCTCTCTCATCGATGTTTCTGACTCTCTATCTCTATCCCTTCCTCTCTGTAAAAAATCAATAAAATATATTTTTAAAAAAAAGAAGAAAAAAAAGAAAAATAGAACAACAAAATTCAGATTTGTAACTATTTTGTTCTTTTAATTCAGATTCACTTTATCGTAATTAAGAATGGAAAGGGATTAAGAGTAGCTTAAAACTGTTCAAGACTTAGATTCACTTTAATTTAGTATTTAATAATGGTATTACTGGAAAAAGATGTTAAATATATTCTATGTACTCATTCAAGGACTAGAATACACAGAAGATATTAAAATTGGCCAATATTTGTGATATTTTAAAAGACTGTTTATAGGCTTTGAGGAACTCAAGATATACTACACTTCAGATTTTTAATAGCAGAAAGATTATCTGCCCATCTTACTCTTATCTAAGTAATTGCTTGTATCCTGATATTTTTGAGGATGAGGGAAGAAAATGTACTAAAAAAAAATACCCTTAGAAAACAACTAGGTATTACTTGGATGTATTAAATAACAAACTCAGATACCAATTCTAAATCTGACAGGAAATCTTTTCAAGTTATTTAAATAGAGCTCTTTATAGTCATACTATGGTGAAGAAGAGAGGAAATGAAACTAAAATGCATAATATCTAGCAATCCATGATTTGGAGATTGTTGTGAATTGACATTTTCCACTGAATTTTATTTAAACCTACCAGTACATGTAAATCAAAAATTATTGTTGCCGTTCATATCAGAATGCATACTAGAATCCTCTCTTTTTTGTTTTTGACAATTTAATAATTCTTTCTAAGGTTAAATCAAAGAGGGTTGGGGAAAAAAATGGAATCAAATATTATATGGTAACATGAAAATATCTGAACAAAAAGTTTTAAGAATACTTTCTAGCCATGCATAAAATCAGTGTTAAGTTCAACTTTATGTATCAATCAACAGTTTGGATTTATATGTTGTATGTGTAAATAAGTTCTATGTACCACACAAATATATTCTATAAGTTACTTAAGATTGTATTGCTTTGTTTTGGGGGAAGCAGCAAAAGTTATGCTCCAGAAACTGATTTTGTCTTTGTCACAGGAATTTACATAATTCAGATTCCCTGTGGTAATGTTAATAATTTCATAAGCCAGTAACATACAGGATAATATCTCTTAATAAGCGAATAAAGAAATAACATACACCCAACCAATGATAGATTATTAATCTATTCCAGGCAAGGGGGATAAAAGAATAAAGTCTAAATTTAATGCGAGGTGTAGCTTTTTACACTTAGAGTTATTTAGGAAGGACAGCTATCAAAGGAGAGCTGATTTCCAACTGCCACATGAAAGTTAAAGTACCCTGTTGCTAGGAAACAAAAAAGCAGGTGTTGGCTGCCTCCTTTTTTTTTCTTTTTAATATATTTTTATTGATTTCAAAGAAGGGGGAGGGAGAGGAAGATAGAAACATCAGTGATGAGAGAGAATCATTGATGGGCTGCCTCCTGTACCGCCCCCACCAAGGATCAAGTTCGCAACCTGGGCATATGCCCTAACCTGGAATCGAACCATGACCTCCTTGTTCATAGATCGACACTCAACCACTGAGCCACATGGATCGGGCAGCTGCCTCACTTTCTATGTTGCCAACGAGATAGTACTCCTTATCGTAGGAGCTAATACCCCAAGGGTTTTGGGAGAGTTTTGGTGAAAGGAAGTATAGTCAATAATATTGTGATAAATTTGCATGATGACTGATTACTAGTGTTAGTGAGTGATCACATTGTAAGGTGTTTAAGTATTGAGTCACTATATTGCACACCTGAAACTAATAAAATATTGGTTACTAACTATATTTAAATAAAAATAACAAAAATGAAAAATGTATAAATTAAAAGTTTAGGAAAGAGTGTGCTCACCCAAACCAAAACTCTCAAATAGTTCTCACAAACTCTCGGTATTTATAGCCTCAATATCTCAGTGACAGCTGAGGAACTTATCATGACAATAGACGAGATGATAACATGCTGAAACAACTTCATTCTCATATCAACTTTGCTTCTAAAAAGAACTTATTTTTTTTGTCTTTGTCATAAACGAATGAATTAAGGCAACTTCACTTAAACCATAAAGTGAATTTGAAATTACATTAAGTCATATCTATATGTGTAATAGAGAAATATGCTAATTAACTGGGATGCCGTAATGGGTCAACCTGACAGGAGGAGGTTGCGCACGCAGCAGCGGGTGTGGGGCGGTAGGGGTCTCCGTGTACCTGCGCTGAGGGAGGGCCTGATCAGTAGCAGCCCAGGCTGCTTCAAGGGCCAGAGAGGGAGGCAGGGCTGGACCTGGACTCGAGGGTGGATGGCGCCACGCAATTTTGAATCGCACACTAGGCTCCTAGTTTGTGTATAATATTATATATGAAGTATATAGATATATCATTTGAAATTATAAACACCCTTGTAAAAGTAATAACTGTGTGATATAACTTATTCATATGTTTATTTTGGATTATTTTTTTATATTTTCTTATTTCTACTTATTGATTGTTTATGATTTTTTTCAATAGATATGAGCTAGCCCTAACTGGTTTGGCTCAGTGGATATCAGCCTGCGGACTCAAGGGTCCCAGGTTCGATTCTGGTCAGGGGCATGTACTTTGGTTGCGGGCACATCCCCAGTAGAGAGTGTGCAGGAGGCAGCTGATCGATGTTTCTCTCTCATCGATGTTTCTAACTTTCTATCCCTCTCCCTTCCTCTCTGTAAAAAATCAATAAAATATATTTTTTTAAAAAATAGATATGAGCTAGAAAGTAGGGTATTTTGTTTGACTTTAAATTCATTGACTCTTTCCTTTCAACCCTCTGTGGAGAAGATTAGATTCAGAAATTGAGAAAAATTAGTCAAATCAATGGAGCTTCTCTTTGAGGAAAAACAATTGGAATCCTTCACAATTTAGTTTATCATAGAGGTTAATTAGAACTATTTCAGTTATATTGTGTTAACCAAAGAGAGGTTTAGCCTGTAATTCAGAACAAAAAATACATATCTGAACAAAAGGAGTTGCAATCCTGGAGACACAGATGCAAGTGGCAATGTAAATTGTGTTCCAGCGAGAGCAACAACAGAAAAGCACAGGAGTTAAAAAAACAAAAATCACAAAATGCACTTGTTTCATGCAAATAAATGATTGCTGGCTAGGTTACCAAGAATTGTTTATGCAATACGCTAACAAGGGAGGCAAAGACTAGAAGGAAGAGGTTAAGCCAATATGTGTTCATGCAGCAATTGGTGTTTTGGGATGAGTCAGCCTGGGGCTGAGTTTAGCAATAAGTTAAGCAATTTAGCCCCTTTGAAAACTAAGGCAAAAATGTGCATACCCGCCCCGCCCCCCATTCCTTAATGGGCTCCAGACTCTAGTTTCAGTAACTCTCTTAGCAATGCTTATTCCATTTTATTTTCTCCACTATAATTGTTACTTAAATAGGTTTTTTTTATTGAGCTGTCCTAGGATGTTATGTTTTTTATTTACATTCCTTTGTTGAACACATAAGGACTGAGAAACTTTGAAATTCATGTATTTTTAAGTTAAAATTTAGTTGACATATAGTATTACATTAGTTTCAAGCATACAACATAGTGATCTGACATTTACATATCTTACCCATGTGCTCATCACACTAAGTCTAGTAACCATCTGTTAATACGAAATTTATAGTGGGAGACCAATGTTTTCTGTTGTTTGGTTTTTTGGATAAGAATAGAAAGGAGGGCCTTGTATAATGAAAGCTATTTAAACTGATTGTAGAAAACTAGATTTTAGGGCTCAGAGGAAAAGAATTCCAAAAGAGCCTGACTACCTACTTAAAATCATGAATAGGAAAATGTACTTAAAATTTTCATTTAATATGCAGTAAATAATGTTTACCTCCTCCCATACATAATTAAAATATGGAATGATGGGACAGCTAACACAAGAAAAAATAATAAGAAAAACTGATTGTACTTAATTCCTTTTAAAAGGCAGACCTTCTGAAAACAACATAGTTATATTATTCAATTTAAAAAAGAGATAGTGTTATTTAATGGTTGAAGAGATATGTGCTAAAATGAGGTAAGAAAATAAAGTTATACATTGTAACTATTTGATCAAGATTTTTGAACCTGTGATATTGATAATATCCTTTTGTCCACCATACCAGTCTATGGACAGATAAACAGACTGCCATCAAATTGACTTGACTGATGGCATAGAAAAAGGGGAAACAAGTATTTGTTTCCAGGATGCCTAATATTTGAAGAAAACTAATAAGAAATTAAATAAATTAATGAGATGATATTTGAAAGGTGATTAAAAGCCTGGACTCAAGTTCTGAACTGCGCCATCCATATACGGCACCAAAAAAGGCTGAAAAGACAGAAGTATGTCCTGTTTCTCCTCTTTTTGACCTTTGCTACATTGGAGACAGGGTCTTACAAGGAACAATCCTTTCTTTTGTACTTTAGACCACAACCCTTCTAGTCTAGGCAAGAATTCTTTTTAATTTAATTATTTCATCCCCCTCCTGCAGGCATCTTCAATTCATCCCTTTACTCTAGATCAGTGGTCGGCAAACTGCAGCTCGTGAGCCACATGCGTCTCTTTGGCCCCTTGAGTGTGGCTCTTCCACAAAATACCGACTTCTGCACGTGGGCCACGAAGTTTCC